GTACGCGATGACATCATTGGACGCGCGACATGAACCGCGCCGTGCTGGTTTTTTTGGGACAGCCTGGCTCGACCTCCGCGTGGGCCTCGTTGTGGTCGCCATTTGCGTCATCGGATTGCATCATCATGTCCTCCCTCACCCATAATGAGTCAGCAAACAGTTCTTGCAGGCTCTAGAAGGTTCCCATTCAACCTATTGCAGAGATGATTGAGTCACTCGACGTTTCCGTTGTGAAAACCGGTCTGTCGTACCTTTTTATAGTGACATGTCCTCCTCTAGTGGATCTTTGTTACATAAGTGCCATTCAGCTGACTTACCCACGCTTTCAATCCCTCGTATTTTCTAGTATACTTAGAAATCTTGTATCTATAGGTCATAGAATTTATTACAGTAGCAGTTCTGAGCAGGGTCAACCGTCACGTTGGACCAATTTCGAAAATTTTACGACCCCCTTCCCCCTTCTAGAGGGCCTCGATACGACCCCCCCCCTCAGGGTTAACCCTTCACGACCATCCTCCACCACCCTCGCCTGCCATCGCCATCATGGGGCGATTCTATAGTATTTGATTCTGAGACCAGTCGACACAGCCCAACTCCGCCCACTTTTCCCTCCAAAATTGCCGTCGAGCGAGGGGGGGGGGTATATCGAATGTGAATACGACCCACCCCCACCCCCTCGTTGGACTTTGTCGAACGGACGGTTGACCCTGTTCTGAGAGTTCCCACCGTGAGAAAATCTAGGGCAGTTAATTTAACGTCAGTGTGGTTTTAAGCGCTTTTTATGCCTTGTAACCATGAGGGACCGTCCATGGGGCGTCCTTACATCTATTAGCACTATTGGGAAAATAAAGGCGTTATGTTAAATCCACACATGAGGGGTTCAATTTGTTTCTCCAACACATTCACGAAGGCACCCTTCTTCGCTTTTTTGTGGGATTAATAAATTAACAAAAACTCAAATAGCGCAAAGGAAGCTCATTACTCTACTATAAGGCATTAACCATTCTAAGGTGCATAGCATTGCTAGTTGGAGGGCGCGCCGATTTTTTGGATACGGTAGTAGCGAAATGTACGTGACGGCTGGTATCCACTGCTATAAACTAACTAGGGGAAGACTGAGCATCTCCCTCCCCAAGGCTTAGAAAGTGTATATTCGAACGATCCAGCAGGAAACATCGTCTTCCCATAGCGTCTCTTTAGGTTGTAGGAGTGAGCATAAGCCCTCACGTACTGGCGCCTACCGTAGTCAAAAAATGGCGTGCCCATCCGCTAGCATTGCACCCATTCTGACATCCAGAACATGCATTAGATTACAACGAACGGTTGGTAGGCAATCATTACCTGACAGCCCATTAGGGCTACCACCGGCGTGGATGTGCCGAGGATTGACCCCGGTCCAATATGGGCGTGCTTAAGCTCCATGCGGCTAGGTATAGATTGGTTTTCGCAGCTGCGCCCGCATTTTCCGTCCAGCCTATTTCTCATATTGATCGAAATTGGTGATCCACATTTTCCTCGGCTTTCTCTTTCTCTCTTCGTCGTCAGCAGAATTGCCGCACTTTCACCGCCAGTGCCTATGGCTGCATATCGATCTCGGGAGTCATGGCGAGCAACTGGCTGAGTGTGACTCGTCGTCAGTCTCAACGTCCTCGACTAGACCCCATTAGGCTGACTTGCAATTCGAAGGTGTTGACGCGCTGTGGTCGCGATGAACCGAGTTTCTGAGGTTTGTATGTGGGAGGGCTATGAGGAACATCTGGACGGGACTGAACTTTGACGTTATTGCCTTTCGAAACGTTTTTCATGCGTCAATGACTTCGAATTGCTCGGCTGCACTCCGCCTCAGCGCTCAGATTTCGATATTCGCACGCTGCAGCATTGCATCATGAATTTCTCCGTAGCTCCTTTGCTCGGTGGCGGCCGGCAGACGGGGCAGTCCCGTCGGAATGGCTAATCCACCTCAAGCCACTAACTTGTAAGCCGGATATCCCCCGTGAACATCCTGATGGACATCCTTCGGCATCACAGCTGAAAGTTCTCACTCCTTTTACACCTCCTTTTCTGGAGCCTCTGGGAATGATTGGTTTCTGAGCCGTCACCCAGGAAGTCAACGCCTCTGGGGATGGCTGATTTCTGAGCCTTTATCCAGTTTGTCGGTTCCACGGGGTATTTGATTCTTCTATGCCACACGAGGCTGATAGATGGAACCTTTTATTGAATGGCCCGACGTTTCGACCTTTTCGTCTTCTTCAGAGGCCTGAAGATAGCTCGAAGCTTTTTGATTTTACATTACCCACTACCATTACTTTACCATTGAGCTACCC